AACAAGGGTGGATATAGAAAATAGCAGATGGTGTAAGATAAAATGAATAATTAAATGTACTTCTCCTTTTCTGGAATACATGTTATTTTCCTTTTATGGTATAGTTTAATAAGAGAAACACCCCAGGCTAGACTGAGGTCATGAAATGTATAAAAGTGACGCCTAAGGAAGAGCCAGAGGTTCAGAATTTGCCATGTTAATGCTCTGAACCTTGTGCACAAATAAACCTGCATTCTCCAACCTTTCGTGGTCTTGTATCCTGGTTTGGAAGCGGGATCTGCTGCAACAGAACCATACGTTGAAGCACCCGTTTGCCAAAGGCTGCAGTCGCCGAGGCAAAAGCATCCAGACGGTAGTGTCTGATGAAAGGAGACGGGGATGTCCACATGGCCACACGACAAATCTCCTCCAAGGATGCTTGGGTCGCCCAGGCAGAAGTGGCCGCGCTTCTGGTAGAGTGTATCGTCAGACCTCGGGGAACCGGAAGGGCCGCAGCTTTGTAGGCCTGCTCCATGCAAGACCTGACCCACCTGCTAATAGTAGGAGAAGAGGCCTTGTGCCCCAAGTGAGAAGGGAAAAAGGAAACAAACATGGCTTCCGACTTCCAGAAGGAGGAAGTCTGCTTAATGTATATTCTAAGAGCCCTTCTTGCGTCTAGCCTGTGCCACTGCCGCTCTAAGTCATGGTGCGGGAGAGGACAGAAGTCAAGCAAAACAATGTCCTGGGACCTGTGAAACCTTCGGAATAAATGAGGGATCCAACGAAGAACAACCCTATCATCGTCAAAGCAACAAAGGTCCTGTCTGATGGAAAGAGCAGCAAGCTTGGAAACCCTCCTGGCAGAAGTGATGGCGACAAGGAACACTACCTTCAGAGTCAGGAATTGGAGAGACACTGTTCTAAGGGGTTCAAAGAGGGGCTTTGTAAGGGCATTAAGGACCAAATGAAGGTCCCAGGAAGGATACCTGTGAACCACCAGAGGGTGCAGGTTGGAAGCCCCTTTCAAAAACCTCCTGACTGAAGTGTGATGGGATAAGGAAGGAAGCGAACCCCATGAAAGGACTGAGGAGAGGGCTGCAACCTGCCTGCATAAGATGTTGGGGGCCAAACCTTTCTCCAGCCCATGCTGAAGGAAGCTAAGAACTTATGCCAACTGGGCTGAAGCAGGAGAAAGACCCTCCCTGAGGCACCATCGGGAAAAAGCCTTCCAGGTGGCATCATAGATGTGCCTTGTAGAAGGTTTGGGAGAAGCCAGGATAATGAGGATGACCCCTTCTGGAAGATCAGCCTCCTCTAGCCGCTGCCGCTCAAGTGTCACATGGTCAGCTTGAACCACTGTCATCCAAGTAGCATTGGATCCTCACTGGAATAGAACACAGAGATGCCACCAATGCTGCCAGAACCTTTGTGAAGACCCTTGGAGCCGATGAAGGGAAGTGCTTGATACTGGTAATGGGTATTCTGATAACAGAAATGGAGAAACTGGCGATGAGGCCAAATTGGGAAGTGGAGGTAAGCCTCAGTGAGATCAATGGAAGAGAGGAGGTCGCCCTCCCGAACGCTCTCTAAAATAGAATGCAGAGTCTGCATTTTAAATCGCCTGTATTTTACAAATTGGTTGAGAAATTTTAGATCAAGGATGGCTCACCACCCCCCCGAGGCTTTGGGAACGATGAAAAGGCGAGAGTAAAGCCCTCGTCCCCATTGAGACGGGGGAACAGGTTGAATAGCCCTGATTTCAAGGTGCTGAATGGCCTGATTCATGACGGCTTGCCTGGAAATGTCCCGAGACACAGGACAGATGAAAATTTTTTGGGTGGGGTGGGGTTAGGGAGTCCAATTGTAACCCTGACCTAATAGTGCTGAGCACCCAGGCGTCCGTCATTGACTCCTCCCATTTGGAGGCAAAGAAGGCTAGGCGACCTCCGATGGGTGGGGAGAACGAGGGATTACTTAGAGCGATGGAAGGAACGAACCCCTCCCCCCCGAAAGAGCCGTTTACCAGTAGAAGATTGTTGCCTACCAGATGTTTCCACCCGTTGGTCTTGGCGTTGGGAGTATGGCCTGTGAGAGCGGGGAAAGCGAGATAAGGTCTCCGCTCAGAAGACAGGAAGGCAATAAGGAGCAGGGCAATAGTCAACTTTCTTCCCAGAGGAAGAGAGAATTTTACCTCTGGGAATTTATCTCTGGTTTCAATGAGATAAGGTTCCAGAGCATCGCCAAAAAGCTTATCGCCTACGAAAGGAACTGAAGCCAGCTTCCATTTTCGGCGTGTTTCTGCCTGCCAATTCGGGAGCCATAAAAGTCTTCTTGCTGCTACAGAAAATGCCATGGCCTTGGATGCAAATTTGGCGGAATTGAGAGTGGCATCCGCAGTGAATTCCGCTGCTGCAATAATCTTATTAAGGTCTCGGTGTGACCGAAGGTCAGAAGCAGGCAATCTATTCTGGAGTTGGCACAACCACTGTATGGATGCCCTGGTGAAGAAGGATGCTGCTGTTGAAGCCTGAACAGCCCAAGCAGCAGCCTGGTGATTGCGCTTGAGGGTCTGTTCGGAACGTTTATCATCCAGTTTCAGGAAATCTTCTGGCTCCGTGGGAGTGCCAGAAGATGATAACGAGGCCAGAACCGGAATGTCACTGCCACGGCATTCTCCAGAGCTGCGCTGACATTGAAGAAACGCTTATCTAGAGAAGATGGGCGAAGACCTGCTGAAGGAGAAGTGCACTGTTCCTTGACCATGTCCAGGAACAAAATGGGAGAAGGCAAAACCGCTGCATGCACTACAGGCTTGGAGAAGAGCGAATCCCCTTGGCTAGAGGGATTTGCTTGTGGCTTGGGAGCCACTTCCTCTGGCAACAGCTTGGCAGTGACCAAGGCCTTGCTGAGTAATGGTCTGAAGAGAGTAGGTTTGAAGACCAATGCAGAGGATGTCTGCTCTGGGCGAGAATCCTCTTCCTCTGAAAGATTTTGGTCAAAAATCTCAGCCTCTTCACTCTGAATGAGAGGAGTAACTGTGTTCAGATGGTGAAGGCCTTCCTTCCTCATCAACCTCCTCTCATTCTGGTAGAGAAGAATGGACCCTGAGGTCCTGAGGCCTGTGTAAATCAGGATGATGAGACAAGGAACTTATAGATTGAGAAGGGAGAAGGGCCTGAACCCTTTCCAGAGGTTGAAGAGTTTGCTTGAAGCCTTCAGCCAATCCCTGCCTAATGGCTGATGAGACTACATCTTGGATATCCCTTGGTCTATGCTCAAAGGTAGAGGCAGAAGGCTGAAGGCCCGCTGCTGTGGGAGTGAAGATGGCTTCAGGCCTAGATTCAGGAGAGGTTCGAGGCCTGGAGGGAGTGGGTAGAGCATAGGGCACAGAAGCCTATTGGAAATAAGGCCCAGATCTGCTTAAATCCTGAGGATCTGACTGTACAGCAAGAGCCTCAGGAGACCAGGATGGAGGATGGAAAGGCTCACAAATAACTTCTGCTCCCCTGGGAGGGCTTGGTTGGGGCCCACAAGTATCACCTGAAACATGCTGTAGTTGCACTCCCTTCTGTTGAATAGTTCTGTTGAACTGCCTCTCTAGAGCTGCATGTCTGCGCTTCTCTGCCCTCAATTCAGCCTGAGTTGCCTTCTTAGAGGCTAGAGCCTTGGCTTTGATTTTAGCAGCCACCTCCCTCTGGACTGATTGGGTGCGTTGCCTATGTCATTTTCTCCTATTGGGCTTAAGAGACTGTTCCACTGGGGGGGAAAGCTCTGCCAGAGCCTTATCTTGCTCCATTTGTAAAATAAAGGCTCTTGTGTTGGAAAGAAGCTGTTTAGAAATTTTTCTATTAAGCCCCTTAGAGTATAAATGGCCCCCGGGCTTACAAAATGGCCGCTCACCTTGTGGTGGAAGGCTTGAATCCAAGATGGCCGCTGACTACAGGAAAACAGGCTCCAAGATCGAAGAATCTCTCCTTAGGCTATATACAGCCCCGAGCGGTCAGCAAGGGAAAAACACAGCAACCAGCTACACGATCAGCTGGCTTGAGCTCTTACCAGTTTGCCGATTGTGTTTACGATCCCTCCAAACTACAGGCGTGGGGGAGGCTGCAGACGCTGCCCAGCTTGCCTGCACAGAGCTCTGTAAAGCTGCTCCCAACGTTGCAGGAGAGAGGAGAGAGGAGAGAGAAGAGAGAAAAGAGAGAGAGAGAGAGAGAGAGAGAGAGAGAGAGAGAGAGAGAGAGACCTGCTCTCTGGAAGAACAGCTGCCCAGATCCCTGGGAGCTGCTTGAAGAGAGGAAAAAAGGTACTGAAGATCGCTGGTGATTGCTATCTAACAGAACGCTTTCAGAGACACAGCTACTGACTGAAAGGAGCTGAGTCAAAAGCTGGGGTCTCTCCCGGGGGCTGGCTTTTATATCTTAGTGCAGACTCAGCTATGACATCATAGGAAGGAGTCAACCCATCCTGGGCTCTCGATGCAGCATGGAGGAGAAGGGACCTTGGAGGTCTTCTTATCCAACTCCCTGCTTAAACAGGAAATCCTATAAGATTTCAGACAAATAGCTGCCCAATCTCTTCTTAAAGACCTCCACTGTTAGAGCACCCCAACTTCTGGAGGCCAGTTGTTCCATTGATTAATTGTTCCAACTGTCAGTAAAGTTATACTTAGTTTTAGATTGTTTCTCTCCTTGATTAGTTTCCACCCATTGCTTCTTGTCCTGCCTTCAGATGCTTTGGAGAATAAGTTAATCCCCTCTTCTTTGTGGCAGCCCCTTAGATATTGGAACACTGCTATCAACCTGGCACCTTCTTCTAGCAAGGGTTTGTAAAACTTTTTCACCTGCAGAAACTATTAGTTTTAAAACAAATGTGGTAGCCATGGCATATTTTTCACAAGCCTCACCCTTTCCTGTGCATTAAGAACTGTGGTGGTGCAGAGTTTGAAATACAGTACTGCAAACTAACTCTGCTCACTGCCGGTAGTTCGATTATGTAGGGGGGCTCAAGGTTGATTCATTCTTCCATCCTTCCAAGGTTGGTAAAATGAGGACCCAGATTGTTGGGGGGCAATATGATGACTCACTAAACCACTTAGTGCTGTAAAGACTATGAAGCGGTATATAAGTCTAAATTCTATTGCTATTGTTCTTTAAAAAAATGATTGGCTGATTGAGCTAATTTCCCTTTTGGTTTCAGTCTCTCATGAATTCCATTAAGTTCTTGCAGAACATTAGAATTCTGCAGAAGACAGCCTGAAAAACCCTACACTAGCATAGATCTAAACCACGCTTGAACTGGAGAGTACAATTTACTCAGTCCAACCTTCTGATGGCTTGTAGGAAGCCACCTGGTTTTTTAAACTGGGGGAAGGATTAAAAATGGGAATGGAAACAAGAGATCTTTAGGATAGCTTGCCTGTCTCTGCTCTAGCATCACATATATTCTGTTGAATTTAGGCTCTTTCACATCAATATTTTAATGTCTGTTATATTAGTCAAGTCAGTAGAATCATTGTGTGCGAGCCTTCAAGTCTTCTTGATTCTTGGTGGCTACATGGACAAGTCCAAGGAATTTTCTTAGCAGTGTTTTCTGTAGGAGTTAATCCTTGTCTTCTTCCTAGGGGTGAGGGAGGACAACTGGCTCAAAGTCATCCTGCCAGCTATCCGGTTATTTCAAGCCCTCTACCTTTAACCACCATGCTAAACTTGCTCTGCAGTGTAATCACAGTTCCTCTATAATCAGCCCCACAGTCTAAAATACTTTCCATGCCATTTCAATTTATATATTTTATTAATTATCTACTATCAACTTTACTTAATTTACCACTTAATTTGCATACTAGCACAATGCCTCATTTATTTCATCTAACAACTTAGCTAAGCGGCTACCCTTTTACTCATTTTAAAACTTGCTATAAAATTCACAGCACAAATAAATCAAGCCTATAATCACATTCTTTATACAACCTAAATATTCTCTTTTCTAACAACAACAAAAAAAAAAACCCTAGCAACTGATTCACTAAGAATAATTATAATTGTGGAGAAAAAAAATATTTTTCCAACTACAGTAAAAGACAAGAATACAATCCAAACATTAAATTAGAAAATTTGCTGGTAGCATGCGGGAACCACACTTCAAATTCCTAAGTAAAAAATTAAACATGCTTCAAAACAGAGCAGTGCTTTATTTCTAGTTATAAAATTAAAAAAAAGATATTGCCAATTATAACTAAATCCCTATATGGAATTTCCAGTCTAGGTGTCCCATCTTTTATAACCAAGATATTCTCTTATGTGTTATGGTCAGAAAGAAGTCAAAATCTAATTTTAAAATTCTAATTTGAATTTTGATAAGTTCATCTATGTGCATATATTCACATAACTTTCTTGGCAGCATTGCAGAACTGATTTGGCACTAACTTCTTATAGAATACAGATTTTTTTATTTATTTATTAAATTTATATTTCACCCACCTCAGTGTTAAAGTGACATTTTAAGACTTTCTAGTTAAGGAGACAAGTATCTTCTCTAGAATCTTCCCATTCCAGCCTGACACTACTTAACTTCTGAATCCTGACAACTGCTCAGATCTGTTTAGAAAAATAGGCCGTGAACTGAACATATGGATACTGCAGTTTACAAAGGCTTAAAGGTGAATGATGCACTTATATCTTCCCACTCAACTAAATGACTTTATTATTACAAAACTAATTGAAAGATTTGCCTTCTCCTTCTGCAAGAACTACTTTCAATATATGATTATCTACCTCCCTCCCTCCCTCCCTATCTATAAGGAGGGGATCTTCTCCTTTTCTCCCTAATTAAACTTTTAAAATTTAATCTGAGAATAATGAACAAACCACTAGTATTTTAACCTGTAGGCTTTAAGAAAAGACAAAACTTCCTTCATTTTCGTTCTAGATTATGTCATTGACATGCAAATATTTCTCTTGAACGCAGTATGTTACTAATCGAATCTAACACTGTTCTGAGAACACTGCTGAGCTACGGACATATTTTACAATGCAAACACGATTAGCCACACAGAAGTGAGACTCTATGCAAGCTACTGTGGGCTAGCTTTAAGAGTTTATCACACAGACCTCCCAAGTCAAATCTATTCCATTTACACTTTTAAGCATACTATTCACTTCAGGTTATTCAGCCTGAATAAGTGCTGCTGCTGCTGTTCTTCCTGTAGGAATATGAAATCTTACAATAGATGAAAGACACAATGCCCTAGTAGAATACATTCTCTACATATGGAAGACTCTCATATTAAGTTCTAGCATTTCCAATTTTAGAATGATCAGGATGATAAGACTTGAAAATTATCAGTCAATCAATGTATGTGGTGAACAACAAACAGCACGAGGCAGTCACTTCTGTTCTTATAATTCCAGCAGTTTGAATAAAGAACTAACAGTTGCAACTTGGCAAAGATATCCTACACAAAACAGTTTGTTTCAGGTGGGGGTTAAAGTGGAATTGAGAGAGAGAGAGAGACCCACAATTTAAGCAGAATATTAGTGGGAGTTGACAGAAAATTACTGAAGATACAAAACAATGTTATAGAAAAGTCCATAGTGAATTATTTGACACTGTTTTCAGCTTTTTTTAAAAAAAATTATGACCTACTTCAAAATCCAGGTATTTTCTGGTGATCTCCCATTTAAGCACTAACCTTGATTAGATAACTGCTATTAGAAACCACTTCACCAACATGTTTGAAATGGTTGTTTTGCAATCTAAATCACAATCTATAAAGAAAGTAAAAGAATACATGAACTGTGAAATGTAAACAATTTGTGCATAATAGTGGACAACAGTATTCTATTTTCTTTAGAAAATTGCCTGTAATACTGTATATTATATATGTTCATGCATAGCGACTGACCATATGAAGGTTATATATTAGAAAAGGAAGTCAAAATACATCCCTGAAGATACATGTAGTCCTCACTCAATGACTGCCTTATTTAGTGACCATTCAAAGTTACGTAGCACTGAAAAAGTAACTTTACGAGCGATCCTTCTGCTTACAAGCATTACAGCATCCCAATGAAAGAAGATCTGGGCATTTATGCCCACTGTTGTGTCCTACAGTCATGTGATTCTCATTTGTGTGCTTCAAAATTAGATTCTGACAGTCATGGTCATGTGATGTCTCGCTTAACAGCTATGATTCACTTAACAATGCTGGAAGTGAAACTGTAAATACATCATGATCATGTGATCTTGCTTATTGACTATGTCACTGAGCAATGGAGAAGCTGGTCCCAATTGTGGTTGCTAAAGGAGAGCTGTCTGTATTGGCACATACAGCACTTTTGTATTGTTGTCAAGCAACCTGCATGAGTGCATCCACAAACTTCCCAAGAGTTAATTATATGAGTTCATACTGCTACCTTATGGCTTCATACTGATGATTTCATACTATTGTTATCTTATGTATGAGGTCTTATATTACGAATATTTTTTTGGAAAGCATTGTTTTTCCATCCCAGGAAAAGCTCACTTCTTGGAAATGAACAATATCCTTTCTGTTATTATATGCTCAATAAACTGAACTACAGTGCAGCTCTTCGTATGGTATACTTTGCAGCTTCTAAAAACTTCTTTTTGCAATAGGCATACATTCAACCACAAAAAAGCCATAAGCAAAATATTCTAAAACACATTAACATTCCCAGCTGCGGGAATCTTCAAATCCATATGTGTAGTACTATATTGTAATAAAACTATCCAATGTTTTTGTTAAAAAAATGATTTCCAATTAGCATAAAATATAATTTAAACATCTAATTCAATATTAACATTGCTTAATGCTTCTATAAGGTGATTCTTAGACCTACCAACAAAAATATAAATCATTCTTCTGATATGAATCCTGCCAGTTTATTAAAATCAGAAACGTTACCTTGTAACAATTTCAGCCATCATTGGTTCAACCTTTCTAAGTTTTAAAATCTATTTTTTTACTAGTTTTCTCCAGTGAAACCTCTTTAAAAGCCACTTTTTTTCTAGCTAGTTTACTTTTAAATAATCAGTCAACTTTATAAATTTGTTGGACTCCTTATCATCCTGTGGCATATGGGAAGCCAAGAAATTTATAACAATTCAACTTGGAATGGGCTTTCAAAGAACATAATGTATTTTATTCTGACAAGATTAAGCTTAAAATCATAACTAGCCTGAAACAATGCAAAATGCAAAACACACCAGTCAGTCATAGTTTCTCTAAGGGAGAATTTGAAAATATTAAGTCTTGTCTATATCGAGCCATATCCTGTTCATTATTATAACAGCCTAGATGGAATTATAGTGCCAAATCTCAACATGTATACTACTTCTTCACTTACTATAAAAGGCTAGGAGTTTATTCTGTTATGGTTGAGCCCCTGAAACTCTTGCAAAGTGTCTTTTATGAGCAGCTTCAATTTGGAACAAAAGGAGCTAACGCGGGGGTGGGCAAACTACGGCCCGGGGGCCACATCCGGCCCGTTGGTCTTTTTAATCCGGCCCGCCGAAGTTTGGTACAGAATTAAGGTTTGATGTGAATGATTGCATTCATTTTATTTTGACTTGTAATGACAGGCATTTCGACACCAGGTGGCGGCCTGTCTGTCAAATTTTAAAAGTCAATGAGGCCCCCGAGCCAAAAAGTTTGCCCACCCCTGAGCTAACGGGTCTAATGATACTCCATTTCCCACCCCTCACTGTAAAAATATTTTATTTCAAAATAAAACGAAGTAGTGCCTTAACCACTATGCCAAACTGGCCTTCTTCTTCTGTATTAGAAAGCCATTATTACCTTTTTTTTCCTAAGCTTCCAATCCACCTTCAAACATGGAAGGTTTGTGGAAGATTTGGGGCTGGTGACTCCGCTATAACCAAGCTAACTGCCCAAGGTTGCGGAGGGGTAAAAGTCATGAAGGAAAAAGGTAGCAAATATATAAATATGACTAATGCTACTCTTGATTGATCCTAAAAGGCAGAATCTATCCACCACTTTGGTATCTTCATGGTCAATTATTAAACTTGCTTGCAGTACTAATTGCCATTAAGTTTGGTCTTTTTTGTATTTCATTTTAATTCTAGTTTTTTTCACTATGCTCCCTGATTTTTATTAATAGACCTT